TCTCTAAATGCCCCCTAATTTTGCACAGAGCGCAGATTCGTTTGAGATTCAAACGGTAGTTTTTAAAGGGGAGACCAATACGTGGTCCTTGAGCTTTCAGTGCTTCTGGACAGAATGATATAATTACTAAAACCCTCTTTTTCAAAGGCTAAAGAAACTCACACAGAACAGATGTTGAAATGTGCAGTAAAAGCAGACAAATATACTGTGGCCCTGCCCCTGGACTTTGGGCCAGTTGGGAGAGGAGCACACAGAGGACTCCCAGAATGCCGTGTGCCTCTCTGCAGCCTGTATGTAGTTCAATTTAATGTTCTAAATGATGATGTTTATCGATTGTGATATGGGTTACGTCTTGTTTGGTTTCTATTGAGTCCCGTCCAGCTTAACTAGAGTGGTTGAAGTGTTCACCCTCTTTGTGTGATGCTTTGCTGTTGGTGACCCTCATCCGTATGTCAGAGCTCCCTCTGCCACTTGTTTCAATAAAGAGCTTTTTTCCTTAAGCAGAAAATGGCTGACTCTGGGTCTTGTAGCACCAATGCTACAATATAGATGTAGAAAAGAATTGTAGTCACAGAATTAATGTTATGCAAAGACTATAAAGAAGCTGCAAATATGTAAACAACACCTTGTTGGATGACTTGATACAGTGAAAATAATGCGATGTACCAAAAATAGAAGCTGCTAAGTTGGCTGATCAGTGGAGCAACGGAATGTGTTGCGTGCAACTGTGTTTTAGTCCAGTATTTGATCCAGAGACATAGGCAAAAAACATGTTTTGGTAGGCTTGTGAAAATTAGAGTAGCCCACCTTGCTAGATATAATTTCCAAATATGTTAATGTCCCGCAACTTCATAACATCAGGTAACAGCCCATTCACCACACCCATTCGGTGATACAACTCAATTGCAATCAACCGTAAAACTGGATTCACACAGCTAAACAGAACCAACACCGCAGCACCTTTCACTATAAAGCTTGTATCCACTCACCACCGTTTGCCCAGTGAAGACGACATGACAGGTGGGAAAAACAACATAGCAAACTTGAAAACCTAAACCGAATCACTGAATGCAAAGACCTACTGCCAAGGCAGGCATGAGCAATGTTTATGATCCATTCATGTCTTACCTTTGATGCACTGAAGTACCGTTAACATGAGCTAGACATTTGCTTTGAGGGGAAGGCTGAGGAAAAGAAGGCGGAGCTTGATGGAGAGTGTAATGATTTGATTGGCCATAATGCAGAAACAGCACTCACAGAAAACAAATCAAATACAGATATCTCTACAGATATCAACGATTAACGAGTAGTCTCGACATAAACAGCTTTATTTTCTATGTTCCTTTGTGATCTAATCAGTATTTTAACATTGGAAAATATTTTGGAAAGGAAACAGTCCTTTTGTGGACAAAGCAAAGCATGTTTATAAGGAAAATCAAATAAATTAAACACAAAATTAAAATAAACAACAGTAAAGGCTCTTATGAGCATATGATGCTTTTGCACTGTCAGGAATGGCTCTGGTAGGTCTTTCACGTTGAGCTCTGGGTTTATTTTATTGGTCCTCAGAACCGAATTATGCCGGTTGGTCAATTCAAAGTGATTCATTTAACGTTTCCACTCCTGATGAGCGTCGCAGACTCTGAACAGATCAGACTCATCCGTTTTGGGAAGAAAGATGCAAATTTTTCCGTTCATACATACATCATCTAAACCGCTTATCCTTCTGGGTCGCGGTGGGGTGCTGGAGCCTATCCCAGCTGTCATTGGGTTTTCCGTTCATTCATTTTTAAACTTATGATGTCGACTTTCCTTTTGTTAACAAACCACATTTCTATGAAAACTCTATGAAATATGTGAAATTATTAATTCTGACCTGATATCTGATTTACCCTGTAATGTCTGTTCTGATGATACTGGTCGTTTAGATAAATGCCTGTGAATTTATTAACGCTGTTCTGCTGCAGAAGCCATGTTGCTTCACCTTCATGCAAATCACTGAAATACAAGCATTTTTACTGCAGAACTTTTTCAGGTGCTGAAATGCTTCGCTGGGTCCACCAGTAGAAGACCCCGGCTAGAAACCAAAACCAGGAACCAGCACACTTCAGCATCCAATCATCGTCCAGGGTTTTACCCAGCATGCACAGCCATCCAAACACTCAGTTAGCTTTCAGACCTCAAAATACAGAAACATTTACAGCATAAGAGCAGAAACCTCATCAGTCTCTGAAGATCCCTAGGTAAAAAAAGCTCATCCACAACCTCACCTTCAGTAGCTCTCCACTCACTGAAGGAGCTGTTTGGTTGATCATGTTCTCCACAGACCTGCTGAGGATTCCTTGATGTGGTTTCTCAGAACAAAACATGCCTTGGACAAAATCACGAGTCACGTCCAGGTCCAAAAGTGCTCCAGTGTTCAATTCATTTATTTATTTATTCATTTTTTTATTTCACCTGCTGCCACCTCTCACTCTCCCTTCTCACTACTGGCCCTCCATATTTCCTGTTCTCCATTTCCCAGCCAAAAGCCAGGTGTCATAATAAAAGTCCTTCATTCCTAAACATTATTTTAAGGCCTGATTTCATTGTCAGAAAACTAAAGCAGCACAAATAAACACCAACTTTTATTCAGTTTTCTAACACAGTGCTGGAAAGTAGTCTTGAACACAATGTATATCTTACTTTCTGAGATTGATACATCTTCTAGTCATGGAGCAGCTGATGTTCAGCCATTTCTTCATTCTATCCATCAGAAAAGTTAACTACCAGGTTTGTAGACTGAAACTCCAAATGACCTGGAAATGAACTAAAAATTTAAGTAAGGCCAGTAAAAGTACTGAAACATCAGCAGGACAAACATTAGTGTCTCTGTCCTTTATGTAGGTCAGTATTATTTTATTTAGCTCAGTGTTTTGTTACATGTCTCTTCTTTTGGAGAACAGTTTAATGTCTTCTAGTCATGGAGCAGCTGATGTTCAGCCAGGCTCATCAGACGTCAAGTGGTGGAAAGAGACCGGATGTATCCATGATGGTCAGAGCTTGGACACGTCTGGTGTCTTTTCACCACTTCAGCACATTTTTCACTCTTGATTTTGGATTTTTTGGCATATCTGTGATCTTTTATGTAGTCATTTCATTACCAAGACACATTTTTATGACAGCATAAATTTTGAGAAAAGAAAGTCATAGAATTATGACATTAAAGTGGCATTAATACCAGGAAAAACTGCAATATTGTGGCCAAAGGCTTTGCAAAGTACGACAGCATTTTAGGGCCACTGTTAATAAAAATAAAAATAGTAGACTTCGAGAATAAAAGCAGCACCAGCCTGTTATTAGTATAAGAACCGACTGAAACGGCTGAGCAGGAAACTGTGTTTATCTAGAATAAAGAGCCAGACGGACTCGGAGGAAACTGTCTGTCTGTGTTGTTGAAGGAGAATCTCAGGCAGGGTCGTCTACACGGCTATGGGGGCTCCATCTCCCCCCATTCAAAGAGGGCATGAAGTTTCACAGACAGTGAGAATGATGATCAAAATGATCCACAGAGAGACAGGAGTGAGTGGAGCTCCGGTGCCAGGACAGCAACCGAGACCCCGACGCGTTATGGCAGCCCCCCTACAGTACAGCAACCGAGACCCCAACGCGTTATGGCAGCCCCCCTACAGTACAGCAACCGAGACCCCAACGCGTTATGGCAGCCCCCCTACAGTACAGCAACCGAGACCCCGACGCATTATGGCAGCCCCCCTACAGTACAGCAACCGGGACCCCAACGCGTTATGGCAGCCCCCCTACAGTACAGCAACCGAGACCCCAACGCGTTATGGCAGCCCCCCTACAGTACAGCAACCGAGACCCCGACGCATTATGGCAGCCCCCCTACAGTACAGCAACCGGGACCCCAACGCGTTATGGCAGCCCCCCTACAGTACAGCAACCGAGACCCCAACGCGTTATGGCAGCCCCCCTACAGTACAGCAACCGAGACCCCGACGCATTATGGCAGCCCCCCTACAGTACAGCAACCGGGACCCCAACGCGTTATGGCAGCCCCCCTACAGTACAGCAACCGAGACACCAACGCGTTATGGCAGCCCCCTTACAGTTAGCCCCCCTACAGTTAGCCCACTTTATCCTCCAAATATTACGACTTTATTCTCAGAGAACTATTTTTTTATTAACAGTGGCCCTAAAACACATTAATAGTCCCCCCATCAGTGGACTATTACAACTTTATTTTTATTTGTAATGTATTCGTGAGGGAGGACATATGAGCATAAACAAACAGACGGACAAACAACAGCAAGAGAAGGAAAAAAAGATAATATTACATAAAAAAATAATAATAAAAATATAATAGAGAAAATAAGCAAAGGACTTAATGAGAAGCAAACAACACCAATAGTGTCTGTGACATGGGAATTAATAATGTTGTACAGAGATAGAATTCCGATATGTGTGTGTGTGTGTGTGTGTGTGTGTGTGTGTGTGTGTGATGAAGGGGAAAGAGTTTATGATTATAAAGATGTTTATGTATAGAGAAGTTTGGAACTGGCTGTCTTTCAGATTGAGGTTTAGTGTGAGGTGTGAGGTGTGAGGTGTGAGGTGTGAGGTGTGTGGTGTGTGAACGGTATGTTGGAGATCTCTGGTTTGAATGTGTGCTTTTGGAATTAGCACAGTAAAACGGGGGGCTGGACAAATGTTTTCTAGCTTGCTGTTGCTCAATTGCACTCAAAGTATTGACTGACAAGTCATAATAGAGCTGAAATGATATACTTTTGAATACAGTAAAGGACAATTTCATCAACATACAGTAACATATTTAAACAAGTCTGAAAAACAAATGATGGCAGTGTTCCAGGACTTCTGCGCCCTGTAGATGCATTAACAGCACATGTAGCTCAGTGTTTGTCACAGCATGTGTTGAAGGAGATGAAGTAGTTGCTCCTTGTGTAATTAGTTACATTAAAATAAATGGGACAAGAACAGGGAAGTTTTAATAAACAAACTTTATGTACTGACCAAAAGTAAATGGAGGACTGTGTGGCACTGAAAACTGTAATGAATTTTTGTAGACACATTAGTTCATACCTATGTAAAAAACTGACAATATAAAAGAACAGAAAGACTTATATACAGATCTTATCATAAAACATAGGCATTTAAGTGTTTCATTTTTACTAATTGACTACAAATAAGTAGACAAGAGAAATTAATTCATTAATAATCAGTAATGGTCGTGTCATGATGCTGTCAGGTCGTGTTTCTTGTTGTAAATCAGTGTAAACAAAGTCCTCTGGACTTTTTCGGACATTAACCAGAATCTAGACATTACCAGTCACCATCCTGGACGTTACGGAGATGAAAACTGTAAACAAATGCTGGAGTTGTAGATTTTTCTCTGATCAGGCAGCTAAGGGTCACCTCCACATGGGGAAGCGCTTAGATTTCACCTGTTTGAACATAAACATTGACAAAAATAAAGGCACAGTCGCAGAAAATAAAGCTTTAAATGTTTATAATAAGTAGTCTGAGGTTTTTGAAAATGAACAGAATACAAAAAAAACATGCTAAAGCAGAAATTTTCTATCAACGTGATGGCTGCGCTACAAACACTGCAGACTTCCGTAATTCCATGTTTCTCACAGATTCAAAGTCTGACTTCTGCCAGAAAATAAAAGTTTAATAAAGTAAAAGAAAACCTACCACCTGCTGTGGGTTTATTTATGCTGCCATGGACTTACACCATCTCTAAAACACCCACACAGTCCTGATTCCAGCTTTTCACCACTTTTGAGTTAAAGACTGGGGCCTTAGTTAAGTTGGGTTGCTAGGCTACACAGTATGACTGAAACTGAGCAGAAATTAAGAAGAAACTTCCAAAATATCCTTCCGTAGGATCATTTTACACAAATTCATTATTTGAAAACTCAGTGTTTTCAATATTCAACCAAATACAGAACAATTATCATTGTTCAATCCAGGAGTCGCAACCCAAATGTTAAGAAGAGTCATTTTGTCCTTTCAACAAAAATTGAACCACCTTGGGAGACACTTTATGTCAGTTTTACCATCTTGGCTGTAAATCTGTTTTGGGATGTGCTGATGTGCTGTATAGTTTAGCTCAGCTATAGCTGCTTTTCCTGCATCTTCTTGTTCTAATTTTCCTGTTCTAATTTTCCTGTTCCACCTTAAATAGTGCCAGAGGTGCCAAAATGTAACTGCTGCACCATTTAAAGTGGAACAGGAAAATTCCAAGAAGCTGGCGAATAAGAAGCGACTTCAGCTTAGTGACTTTTTAGTGTTTGTCAGTTTCTCACTGCAGATTAAACGTATCAGGAATCCAGCTGGAGTGATTATAAACACAAATCAGTCCATTCATCTCCAAATTATCGATGTTCATCTTAAACCTCTCTCTTTGCCGTTTCGTTAGCTACTAGCTAGGCGAGATTGTTGTCTGTGTTGCTATGGTGACCAGCAGTCTGCGCTGATCTTCAGGGTTAAAGGGTGAATTAGCAGTTCTACATTAACTCCAGAGTTTAAGACCATTTATTGTTAAACTGTGTTGAACGATCAGCAGAGCTTTATTTTACTGTAAAGGAGGATTATTTTATTTTTACCTACAAATCTGATTCTGCTGTGGAGCCACAACAGGACAGTAAAAGAGCCGCATGCTCGTGTGTTGCCGACCCCTGGTTTAATCGATGTCAACATGACTAAAAATCATGTTTATATGAAATTACCAGCATTAATTCTTGATTACAGAGCCAATTCCTCACTGTACGCTTTAAAGCTGAATGTTTGTCTTATCTGAGCAGTTTTATTTTCCTCTGAAGTAGATAGAAGGTCAAATAACGTGAACCGTTACCTCAGAGAACACAGCAGCGTTTTTGCTTTTTATACTCCACTCTATAGTGATGGCCATGTGCCGTCTCCATACAGGGTTTCTGTGCAGGACAATGGCTCCGCCAACACAGTCCCCCTCCTCAACTGGGATTGGTGCGTCCAACATGAACAGAGTCTGCTTCCAGTGAGTTGGCCTGAAGAGAGAGTTCATTATTTACACACTTATTAAAGGTTAAAGCTTCGGTGCCACACAGACTGTTTTCCTCTGAGACCAGACCTGGATCTCAGGACCCAATGGAACAGATCAGCAGCAAAATTAAAATGAAACCCAAAACATACAGCAGTGATGTGTCTGTATGTTTGAATCTAAATTTCTCTCTCATACATGCAATTCTGGGCTCAAAGTGAAAATTTAAATTCAGTTTAACGATTTTAATTTACTATTTGGTACAGTAGAATTGACATTTCATTTACACAGAGAATAAGACACATTTTACATAATTTATGCCACTTTTTAATAAATCTAACTTACACTATTTTACAGTTATATGTAAAGCTCACTGAATTCCCTTTATGTATGAAATGTGCCATATAAATAAACTTGCCTTGCTTTATAAATAGCTACAACCTAAAAAAAAAGGTTCAAGGGTTCTTTAGTAAAGCCAGTGATTCAATTAAGAACCATGAAAACTCAAAGAACCCTTTGCATGATTAAAGGGTTCTTTACATGGTAAAACAGTCCTTCAGACTGATGGAGAATGTGTTGTATAGGATTCTATGTATCACCAGAAAAGGTTCTGCTATTGTTTCAAGCTTGTATCATAATAATAGCAGAACTCTTGTTGGTGCAGAACCATCTAGCACATTCGTCTTCAATCTGAAGAGCCATTTCATGTTGCAAATAACTCTTTAACCATGTGAAGGGGTTCTTTGAGTGTCCATGGTTCTATTTACAACCCTTTCCTTTGCTGAACAGCCCGTTTTAAGAGCGTACCTAGATTGTTCACAGGTCTCTCCAATCAAATTGAGAACGAAAAATTATTAAGCTGCATTTTTTACGATAATAAAATGTGATTTGTTTTCTGCGAGTTTGTCTTCTTTTCTCAGCCCTCCAATCACTGCACAGCAACTGTTGCTATCCACTATTGCCTCAAGCGTTCGGTTTGTTATCAGCACACCAGTGTTTGAATTTTAAGCTGCAGTTGCAGTTAGAAGATGTAACTGGGAATGTTTAAAAGATTTGAGATTCTGTCCCAGTCATTTTCTACCCACCAAATCCAAAACTTACTACAAAAGCTGACATTGACTTTGTGCAAATATCAAAGCTGACATATAACATTATTTCAATGCATCAAAGATAAGACATTTAAAGACCATAAACATTCTTCATACACACCATGGCAACATCCTTTTGCCTTTGATGATTAGTTTTGAGTTTTTAGGTTTGCTATGTTGTTTTTCCTCCTCTTTGTCCATCTCAGCTGTCTATATTTCAACTTGTCGGGCAAACGTGTCTGTGGTGAGCAGTTACATGCTTTATGCAGAATGGTGCCGTAGTGTTGGTTGTGTTTATGTGAATCCAGTATTCCAGTTGACTGCTACTGTTTTGTACTGCCATAGTGTTGGAGTAAATAGGGTGATGACCGCACTGCGGTCAGGAACAGGCTGCTTTCTGATGTTCTGACACTGCAGGACATTCGCGCATTTGGAAATTGTATGTAGCAAGTTGGCCTCCCCAAATATACTTCTGCCAGTGTCACTGGATGAAAAGATAGACTATAGTCTGTCATAGACCTCCTTTTGGTGATGTTGATGGTTCTAGAGAGTAAACTCTACTATCCACTGCTGGAGAAGAGAGTGAACAGAGTGCAGCCATGTTAATTTATCTCACACACACTGCTGACTGACTCAAATAGAATCATCTGGGTTATTAAAAGATCCAGTTTTCCCTTTAATAATACCAGAATAAAAGTCCCTGGGTGACGTACTCAGAGTTTGGTCCTGTATTGAGCTCTAGTGTTGGTCCTCCTTCGTGTAAACTGTGGAAGAAAGTGCTGAACCAGGCAGTGAAACCATGCAACGTTCCAGACTTTTCAACAGGGAACCGGAATTCTCCTCTCAGCTTCTACAACACAACAAAAACATACAACACTCAGACTTCTACAGGGGTACCCTTCTTTTTTTTTGTCCTGGGGGGCGGGATTGTGTCTGATTTTTAAATTAACCCATTAATGCATGAATCTAGTGCATTTCCAGCTTTCAAAATAGTGCACATTTTTCTGTCTCCAACCTTTTCAATTACAACCGTCCAGTTTTGACTGTTTACTTTACAGTCGTATGCAAAGATTTGCACACCCCTGGTTACTTTCCATGCTGTTGGAGTTGTAAGTGTAAATAAGTTAACACATCCTCTATAGAGAACACACTTCTGCACATTTTAATGCATGATTACTGTTTGTTTACTGAATCTAACATACTTTTGGGGGGAAAAAATAAAATGTGGCCTGTGCAAAAAGTCATGACACATTTAAAATGCATGTTTTTCAATCTTTTGTTAAACTCTTTACATGTATTTTACTTTTGTATGTATCTTTATGTATGTTTTTCTATGTTAAACTCAGCAAATAAACAGAAATTGTCCACTAAAACGTGCATAAAAAATGCATATTTGATATTCTCTGTAGAGTAAGTGTTCACTTCTTTTCACTTAGAAAATCAATGAAACATTATTTAACTGTGGTGTTCAAAATTGCATATAATAATAAGTGATTGGCAAAAAAAAATACATCACAGTTTTCTGAACAACATTTATCTTCTTCACGTCTCGGCAGTTTCATGCGCCATCACTATGATGATCAGCTACATTGAGGGGGCGCTATATCTGCAGTGGAAAAACGGCTTTTGACATTTAGTGTTTTTAGCGCTCCAGCACTAAAATAAAGAAGAGACATTTGGACGCTAAACGTCTTGGCTGATCTGCCTCAGAGTTAAGTGGAAAATTGTGCAGTTTTGGCAGAACTGTTCCTTTGAAGCTTAAACTTTAAACTATGTATGTTAACAACTGTTCTCACCTCGAGGTCTGATACGCGAACTGTGTGCATGTCAAGAGTGATGACATCACAGGGGGTGGAGAGACAGTCCTCAGGGTCGAGCTCATGGCTGAATTTCGGCTTAGAGAAGAATTCCTCCTGCGCAACCGGCCTGAAACAACAAACACTGTTTCAGTAAAGCACTGTAATCAAACGTCCCTCAACACGTCCAGTTAGAAAACGTTAGATTATAATTGAACTGGGTTGTTGAGTGTTGTATGATCTGGTCTGACAGGATAAGATGTTTATGTACTAATGTACATCAGTTCAGTTACACTACAGGCTAAAAGCACAGAAGCAAGACGTGACTCTCACTCTGTTGGGTTAACAGCCTTAAACTGAGTAGTTTTTAAATCTTTACACACCTATAGAAGATCATTCCTGCCAGGCAGAGGAGAAAGAAAATCTCTGTGTTTTTTTCCTCTCCATTTCTGTCTCGCTCCGTCTTGTTTTCTCTGGCTCTGAGTTTATCAGACGTCTGACTTTATCTTAAAATACTGACAAAGATTACAAAATATTTTCAATTTTCTCAAACCTTTTACATGTAATAACTCAGTATTTTAACATTAGGTAATCATTTTGAGATCAGCCAAAACTGAGAGAAAATAAGTGATTATTTTGACTTAATAACTATAATTAAAAATAATTTATCATTTTGAAATAAGTAGAAATTTTAAGAAAACATTATTTTGACACAGTAACTCAAAATCCTGAGAAAATAAATCATTACGTTGAGTTACGTTTGTTATTATTTAGAAATAAGTTTTTACTTTGATATAAACCAAAATTTCTAGAAAAAAATGTTGACATATCAAATCCAAATTCTTAAAAATAGTCATTAGTCATCATTTTGAGAAAAGTCTAAATTTCTAGAAAGTATGCTATTTTGCCATAATAAGTCAAAATCTTGAGAAAATAAGTCATGTTGACAAGTCGGAATTTTGAAAAAAAAAATCATTATCAGAAGTCGAAATTTCTAGAAAATGTTATTAATTTGAAATAGTAACACAAAATATTTACAAAATAATAAAATGTATAATAAGTCCATATTCATAAGTTCTATAAGTGTGGATGAGTTAGCTGGTCACTGAGTAAAAGCCCTTTTATTCTGGGTCAACAAACATCAGTTATCTTTAGAGAAAGTAAACAGTGAGTGGACACAGAATAAACAGGGTCCATTTATAAGTAAGTAAGTAAGTAAGTTAGTTAGTTAACAGAATAATCAGTTCTTACTGCAGGCAGCTGAAGTCCAGGCCGTAGAGATCCTCCCAGAATTCCATTTTCTGTGTGTAGTCAGGGTGAGCCTGGCAGGGTACCAGACTCAGAGAGGCAGACGAGGGCCACATCCTCCCTCCGTCCTTCAGCCAGCGGTCCCGAACACACAGCACCGACTCCACCATGAACTCAAACTGCAGACACAGAGCAACAGAACATGATGATTTCAGTCAGAAAACATGGAGCCAGTTGTTCATCCATCTTACTGCTGATACACACACTGTTTGTACCGTATACAGAGCGTCATTTACTGAGAGCCTGAAAAGCTCCTGACAGAGTGTTTAACTCCAGCAGCACTACTGTGTCTGATCCACTCGCACCAGCACAACACACACTAACACACCACCACCACATCAGTGTTACTGCAGTGCTGAGAATGATCCACCACCCAAATAGTACCTGCTCTGTGAGGGTCCATGGGGGTCCTGACCACTGAAGAACAGGGTAAAAGGGGGCTAACAAAGTATCAGAGAAACAGATGGACTACAGTCTGTAACTGTAGAACTACAGAGTGACACTATATGGTCAGTGGAGCTGACAAAATGGACAGTGAGTGTAGAAACAAGGAGCTGGACTTACCAGAAGACAGTTTCCCATCCACTCTGAGACCAGCACATCCACCTTCGAAGGCAGCGTCAGCTCTTCCGCTCTGGACTTAAAGACGGTCACCACTCCCTCACAGCCGTTCAGCTTCACCAGCTTCTCTGTGTGTTCGGCCACGGCGCTCGCCTCCACAGCGTACACCTACAGCAACACGGAGCGGAGCATCTGTGATTTCTGGGGTTTTATGGTGGAGCTAAATTGCTGTAGCTGAACGGTGGAGCTAAACTGCTGTAGCTGGATGTTGGAGCTAAACTGCTGTAGCTGAATGGTGGGGCTAAACTGCTGTAGCTGAATGGGTGGAACTAAACTGCTGTAGCTGAATGGTGGGGCTAAACTGCTGTAGCTGAATGGTGGAGCTAAACTGCTGTAGCTGAATGGGTGGAACTAAACTGCTGTAGCTGAATGGGTGGAGCTAAACTGCTGTAGCTGAATGGTGGAGCTAAACTGCTGTAGCTGAATGGTGGGGCTAAACTGCTGTAGCTGAATGGTGGGGCTAAACTGCTGTAGCTGAATGGGTGGAACTAAACTGCTGTAGCTGAATGGGTGGAGCTAAACTGCTGTAGCTGAATGGTGGAGCTAAACTGCTGTAGCTGAATGGTGGAGCTAAACTGCTGTAGACTGAATAGGTGACCCCTTCCAATACAAAGCACCCTATAAATGATGATTTTGTATTTATTTAGTTTATTACTGTCTCTATTAATGTCTTGAGTTTAAATAAATCAGAACACAATCACTGTAAATATCTAAGGTCTGAATAACACAGAGAAACACAGTTCAGCAGAACGGTCCATATAAATGTGCTGTGAAGTTCTACCGTGTCTCCTCTGCTGGTATTTACCGCTGCAGGCTGAGCCAGACGGCCACAGAACAGGCTGATGATGCCGGTGCCGCAGCCCAGATCCATCACCACCTTCCCCCTCAGGGAGGCGCTATTGCTCACGATAACCTGCCTGTACGTCTCTGTACGCGGCCTGTCCGACAGCATCTCCAGGTGAAGCCTCTAACAGCAGGGAACAAGAAGGAGGAAGCTTCTGATGACGCTGCTCTGAAGGTCAGTCTGGATAATCTGAATGGTTCACTTGTAGCATAAACAGCAGAACTTTAGGTAATTATGCATGTACACAAATTTACTTTTTCCTGAAGTCTTTTTCTCTTGTTTCTGAGGTGAAAGAAAGAAAAATGAGAGCAATGTGGATGCTAACAGGTTAGCCTGCCAACCGGTATTTCTCCCCGTCTAAAAAAGTGAACAATAAATAAATAAATAAATACATATTAAAATTAGGCTTTTAACAAATAATGAATCACTTTCTATAAACTACAAAAAACAGACATCAAAAAACTAGAGTACTTATTATTATTTTTTTTTTTGGCTTGTTTCTAAAACAGCCCGTCGAGTTTGACTCTGCGTTTGGTTTGGAACGGCCGCTTTACTCAATCCACTCATATCCTTAAGAATAAAATCATGTCATATTTTCTGCCTGAGTAGCCTGTTTCACTCAGACGTGCGTCATGTTAACCAAGAAAAATGTGTTCTGATTCACTTTGACTTTCAGCAAGACTATTACAGATTACTTACAGGGGAATTCCACTGATTCGTCAAAATTTTGCATAATTCAGTGTGTGAGATGTAAACAGAGAGATTCAGAGTGGTTTGGTATGAAATGGTTCAGATGTCTTTACAGTGGTGGTGATAGGAACCAGGGGTCACCATGACTACAACACAAATATAGACATTTTATTTACTATCCAGAACCACCAGTGAACCTACACGAGTCTTCTGGGTTTATATGAATGTTGATGATGGAAAATAGTGGAAAATCTGAAATAATAAGTTTTCTTTGGGGGACTATTTTGCCTCACAGCGTCCTGCATGTTATGTATCCCTCCACCATGAATGGAGTTTAAGTTCTCAAATCTACCATAAAACAGTGTCTCAGTCATCAAGCAGTGAATTCATAACCATTTCATGTAGTAACTTTCTGTGAGGGAGCTTTTAGAGGTGGATGTCTGGTTCCTATCACCACCACTGTGAACAGTTCTGACTCAGTAAGTTTATCTAGAACGGAGCGTTTCACACCAAACCACTCTGAATGACTCTGTTTACATCCTAGCCATTTAATTATGCAAAAATTATGAATACTCTAAGCTGCACACAGTTTAAGGCAATGTGTGTGATGATTTAGACATGCTAATCGCCTGTTAGCTACATTAGCCTCATAGCTCCAGCATGAAAACATGTGTTGGAGAAATATTAAATTTTCTTCAGGCTTCTTTTTTAACGCTAATCTTTGCTGCAGAGCAGCATATTTGTAGCGGAACACTTACCAAAGTTCCATAACTCCCAAAATACTCCTCATCTTGCCAGGCGTCCTCCACTTCAGCAGCTGCTTGGTGCAGGTAGCTGGAGGGCACGTATCCATAACAGCCCCCCACCTCCGCCCACCACCAGTCAGCACAGCTTCGGTCATGGACCAGGATCTTCTCTCCAGCTGAGAAACTCAGCTGAGAGGAGATCAGAACAGACAGACAACAAGGTTATACTGTATTGAACTTTTTTTTGCTTTTAAAATAAAACCCCATTTCCAAAAAAGTTGTGATGCTGTGCAAAATGTAAATAAAAACAAAATGCAATGATGTGCAAATTTGAAAATAGTACAAAGACAACATATCAGATGTTGAAACTGTGAAATTTAATTGTTTTTTGAAAAATATATGCCCATTTTGAATTTGACACCAACAACACGTTCCAAAAAAGTTGGGACGGGGGCCTGTTTACCACTGTGTTTCATCACCTCTTCTTTAACAGCACTCTGTAAGCGTTTGGGAGCTGAGGAGACACTGCTGTAGATTAGACAGTGAAATGTTTTCCTGTTCTTGTTTGATACAGGATTTCAGCTGCTCATCAGTTCAGAGTCTGCTTTGTCATATTTTTCATTTCATAATGCGTCAAATGTTATCAGTGGTGACAGATCTGGACTGCAGGCAGGTCAGTTTAGCACCCGGACTCTTTTAATAGAGAGCAATGCTGCTGTAATACAGGCTGAATGTGGTTTTACATTGTCTTGCTGAAATAATCAAGGCCTTCCCTGAAAAAGACGTCGTCTGGATGGCAGCATATGTTGCCAAAACATGTATATATCGTTCAGCATTAATGGTGCCTTCACAGATGTGCACGTCACCCATGCCAATACTGGCTTTTGAACTGTGCACTGATAACAAGCTGAGTGATTTGATGCCATCAAATTCAAAATATGCATATATTTTCAAAAAACAATAAAATTTCTCAGTTTTAACATTTGATTTGTTGTCTTTGTACTATTTCCAAATGAATATACGGTTTAAATTATTTGAACATCATTGCATTTTGTTTTCATTTACATTTTTCACAACCTTTTTGGAAATTGTTGTACATTTTAAGCCAAAACTTTACCACAAATCTATCAAAAAACAGTGTCTCAGTCATCAGGCAGTGAATTCAATACCATTTCATGTAGTAACTTTCTGTGAGGGAGCTTTTAGAGGTGGACGTCTGGTTCCTACCAGCACTGTGAACAGTTCTGACCCAGTTAGTTTCTCTAGAACAGAGCGTTTCACACCAAACCACTCTGAACGACTCTGTTTACATATTAAATGCTGAATTATGTAGACTTTTTTGAAAAACTGGTGGAGCTCCCCTTCCAAACAAATGGATAGAGGCTCATTTGTGTATCGCAGACCTCGATTTCAGGTACTGTAAACGCCAACATCGCGATAGCTACATATCGTGCAGCACAATATGACCTGAAACGCCTCTCAAAAGACGAACAATGTTTGTTTTTTACATCCTGTGGACTTGACGGCGGTTAAAGCTGTTAATATACTGTGTTTAATTTATCAGGGAGGCAGATTAAACCGATTAAAACGTTAGTGTAAGCGTATTCACCAGCTTTCTGTTCGAATCATCCGTTCCACCTTAAATGGTGCGGCAGTTCCATTATGGCGTCTCAGGCACTACAATGTAACTGCCGCCCCATTTAAGGTGGAACGGGGGATTCGAGCAGGAAGCTAACTGTATGTTAGCTTCGAGTGAGACAGACCTGCTCCGCACCGCTGGCTGTGAAATCTTCTAATCCTACAAACTCCTCCGGGCTTTTACTGTCCGCCTGTTCATCTTCAAACATCTCCAGCGAAACAAACAAACAAACAAACAAACAAAAAGAGACGAATTAGAATAGCCCACGGAAACCGAAAGCAGGCAACGGAGCTGCGTCGCCCTTTACTGCCACCTGCGGCCAACAAGCGGTACTGCAGCACACAGCCACGGTAAACACAGAAATAACCTAATAGAAAAACAATAAAACACTGAATCAGAGATATAAAACCAGCAGGTTTACCAGTACAGCGCGTTTCTTTATTCGATATTTTAAAGCTAAACCATTAAAACAGATCCCTCTTCAGTGGTTCTTTAGTTAAGGCAATGGTTCTATTTAGAGCCACAAGTTATATATAGAACCATTTACATGCCTAAATGGTTGTTTGCATGGTGAAATAGTTCTCCAGATCGATGGAGAATGTGTTGTCTATGGTTCTATAAAGAATCTTTTTGAAAATGGTTCTATATAGCACAAAATCAGAACCCTTTTTGTGCTATATAGAATGATTATGCCACAAAAAAAAATTTAATCATGCAAATGGTTCTTTAAGTGTTCTTGGTTCTATATAAAACCACTGTCTTTACTAAAGAACCTTAATTTTTAAAGACTGTATAGAACTGGTGGTTCTAAATAGAACCATTGCATTTATCAAAGAACCCTTGAAGAGCCGTCTTTTTAAAGAGTGTGTAGAACTGGTGGTTCTAAATAAAACCATTGCCTTTACTAAAGAACCCTGGAAGAACCGTATTTTTAAAGAGTGTAACCTGCCTGGTCTTAATCTTAACCTGAAGGTTTAAGTAAATTATTTTGTCTAGTGATTAAAAAAAAGGATTTCTGACTGAAGTTCTCGAGATTCACCTACAAACTCATTTTCATGCTTGACGTACATGTAAATATTAAAAAAGAACCAAAGAATGACATATATTTAATCTATATTTCAATATGTTGGCATGTGTTTAAATGTATTTAGCAGATTTTAAAACATGACAGTGTTTTTAATATGAGCAAATAAAATACACACTGTAAAAAGTGTCTCGTCAGATCTACTTAAAAAATTACTTCATGTGGTAACAAGTAAATTAATACTATGAATGAACGATTCTTTCAATCAATGTAGTTTTTTGAGTTGAATAAAACTAGTTCGATTGTTACCAATTTTTTTATAGCAGATCTGGCGAGACACTTTTTACAGTGTACGCACATGTATTTTCCTTAGAATACAGGAATGAAAATCCATAAACGCGTGTGATATTCTTAAAAGGAGACAATCTAACATATCTCCAAAAAAAATGTTAAAGTTACAGAGGAATCAGATTAAATATCTGATATATTTAGATGTATCTGATGTTGTTTAAATGAGGAGTATTTATCACATTGACTAAAGCTAACATTGTGATTGTTATTACAAATACGGCCATTATCTGATAATCTCTCTAATTAATCGATTTATTGTGTAAAAGCTTCATCCTGGAATGATCACAATCTAGAACATTTAAAATGACATTAAACTATACATTGTAAAGCACAAAACATTTAAACACTAAATCACAAGCAATGCATTATTCTCATTAAGATCTTCCATATATATTTAATTTTTTTAAAAATTGGAATAAAATTTCATCAATGTATTTTGTAGACATTCAATCAGTGTTTTAGAAAGAGGAAACAAATCATGCTACTTCAGTTTCTTTTGTAAAAACTCATCACTCCAATGTAATTAAAATATATGTATTTGCTCATGTTAAAAGTACAGTATATGTCAATACATGTGCATAGATTGAAATATATGTAATAGTACCAGTTTTTAATATGTACATATAAAGTCACACATACATGTCGCTGCTGTCGGAACAAAACCTTGTATCTCCAAAATGATAATTGTGCAAGAAAAGGAAAAAACCTACTGTACTTTTAATGCAAGTCAATGCAACCAGACCCCCCCCCCGCCCCCCCACCCCAAGTCATTTTGGGCCATTTCTTTTTGTCTGTTCTTCATGAAATTTACACACAATATAAAGGGCAACAGGAATTTTCAAATCATGTCAAAAACAGCAAAAATGTTCAGACAGCAGCAATATAGAAAAATATTACAATGTTGCTGCATGGTTAAAAAAATATTGGGAAGTATATTTCCTTTTTGTATAGGTGGTCTGCAGCAAGCCATTTAAAATGATTTCTTTATCAATTTTTGGCTGAAAATTTGATTTGATATTAAGTTGTGTCAAACTTTGACAGTATTGTAACTGTTAAGCAACTTTCTTCCCAGATTCAGGACCAACTTTTTAAAAATTGCAGATAAAAACAGGAAGCAGTGATTTATAAAGCTACTTTAACCTAAATTTAAAATAAAGTACCACGAAGACAAGATATTTAATGCTGTTTCTTATCATCTTCACTGTTTTTGTAAATTTATGCTCATTCTGAAACTGACATCTGCAACATGTCCTAAAAAGCTCAGAAGTTCACATCCAGGAAAGGCTGAGTCCTTTATGGGTGAGGATTGCATGAGGCTCACCAACTTGCCAAAAATGTATCCATGAATAATCCAACATCTTCAAAATCACATTCCTTTTGCAATTGCAAGGATTTTGGGTATTTCACCCTATAAAGTGCATAATAACATCAAAAAATTCACTGAATCCAGAGAAATAAGCCAAAAACCACAACTGAATGCCCATGACCTCTGAGCCCTCAGGCAGCACTGCATTAAAAACAGGCATGTTTCTGTGATGGAGATCACCACATGGGCTCGGGAATACTTTCACAAACTGCTGTCAATAAACACCAAAAATGCAAGTTCAGACCATACTATCCTCAGCAGAAGTCACATATAAACAAGGTCCAGAAACGCCGCTGACTTCTCTGGGCTCGAAATGGACTGATGCTCAGTGGAGACGTGTACTGGGGTCTGATGAGAACCTTTCAGGCTGTTTATAGAAATAATGGACGTTGTGTTCTCCGGACCTTCCTGATTGTTACCAATGTAAAGTTTAAAATGCAGCGTCTGTCATGGTACGTGGGGGTAATATTGCTCATAGAATGGGTAACTTGCACTGTGAAGGACATGCTGCCTTCTAGACACTGTCTTCTTCAGGGGCAGACATGCTTATTTAAACATGACAACAATAAGAAACATTCTGCATATGTTACAACAGCATGGCTGCATAATCAGAGAATGTGACAGCTAGACTGACCTGCCTGCAGTCCAGAACTGTCTCCCACTGAAAAAATATTTAGTGCAAATTGCAGCAGAGAATGCCCTGTATAATTGTATATAATGGAAGAATGGCCAAAAAATTCTGCATTCAAAACTGGATGAGGTTGTGTCTCTAGTCTCATGAAATATTGAAGTTCATAAGATAAAGCATCAGATATTCTTTTTCAATTCAATATTGGTCAAACAGAATTTAGTAATTAATAAACTTCAAGCACCTTGTTCAGGTCAAATAACACACAAAATAATACACAAAACTGAAAAATAAGCATTTTATTTTTGCATATGTACAGAGAACAGTCAGAACAGAACTAGCTATCTATGTGAACCATTTCTGAAATATATATTCTCTGAAAAAAGTCTAATTCACATGTGGTCATGAAACAAAAATGTAAAAATTAATGTCAGCAGAGCAATTTGATGTAAATGAAATGAAGTCCATGCATTAAAATGTTTCTATAAACATTAAAACGTATAAACTTGTTAAAAACATAGATTCTATGAATTCTCACAGCCCAGAATAAAACTAAACCCAAAACTAAGTTTAGAAGATATCCCGATCTTTGAAAAATGGAAAAAAAATAGGAATGTTTGCCCTTCCATTTTCCCCAAGTTTAAATCTAATACAATCTATACTATATTAATATTTCACTAAATCAGGGTCTTCAGAATCATAATACAGATCATAGCACATCAAATCATATGGTCATCAAAAAAACCCCTCACAATTAGACCATTACCAAATGGTCAAGATCTAAAAATTCAAATACTAAAAAAAAAAAAGAAAACACAACCTACAGCGCTGTGATCCATCTACAGCCTGCAGTGCTAGAAGGAGGTAGTGGAACGTGTTCAAGTGTTTAAGAGATACTGCAGTCCACCTTATACAGCACTACAAACAGAGAATTCCTACAGAAACACTGAGAAAAGCCCTGAAAACCTGATTCACTCACTGGTCTCCTTTCACTCCTTCTTCTTCTTGTGACTCTTCCTCAAACACCTCCTGAAACAGAACACGCAACTCTTGAAGGTCACGAAGATGACAGTCACGAGAATGAGCAGGAGGAAGCCGATGACGTCCAGGCTGTGGTACTGAACCCAGTTCAGGTCGTGAGCAGCCGGCCGCAGGTGATCTGCTCCTTTATGCCTCATCACAAACTCGGTCCAGAACACGGCCAGGTCCAGCGGCTCGATGGGACGGTCTCTGTGGATCGCAGACAGCTTCATCATCTTCTCTTTGTAGCTGTGGAGAAAAAAAGGGGAGAGTTTTAATCAGAGTGAGCACAAAGGCTTTTTCACTATTTTTTCAAGCTGTCTGCATAATTAAGTGGTTAAGATGGAAACAGATTCGTTCAGAGTGGTTTGGTGTGAAATGACCAAACCTTACAGTCAGAGCTGTTCACAGTGGTGGTGATAGGAACCAGACGTCCACCTCTAAAAGCTCCCTCACAGAAAGTTACTACATGAAATGGTTATGAATTCACTGCCTGATGACTGAGACACTGTTTTATGATAGTTTTGAGAAGATGTTTGTGTCTGAAATGTATTAAAACCCATTCATAGTGGAGGGGCATAAACAGGACATTGTGAGGCCAAAAACTGCTGAGATGGAGGACGCCGGGCAAAGTGGGGAGTATTTTGGGAGTTATGGAACTTTGGTAAGTGTTCCACTACAAATATCCTATTCTGCAGCAAAGACTGGCATTGAAAAAGAAGTTTGGATGAAATTTTGTTTTTCTCCGACACACGTTTGCTGTCAGAGGTTTGCTTTTGTCTATATTTGTCTATATCTATAAATGTCTGTATTTGTGTTGTAGTCATGGCGACCCCTGGTTCCTATCACCACCACTGTAAAGACATCTGAACCATTTTACACCAAACCACTCTGAATCACTCTGTTTACATCTCACACACTGAACTATGCAGAAATTTAAAAAAAAAAATCAATGGAACTCCCGTTTAAGGCGGGTTGGGAGCTTTAGCATTTTATTTAAGGACCCAAACAGAGAAGAACAGAGTCTAACAATCACAGTTCCTGTGCTGACAGATAATGGCCGGACTAAGAAGATCCACAGCAGTTCTATTACTAATTAAGCAGTTTTTTGGGCTGCAACTTCTGTACTTCTTGTTTTCTGGAAATGTCTGTTTTCTACAGCCCATATGTAAGGTACATTTGTGCATTTTATTAGGCTTAGGCTCGCTGTCAATAGTATCGGGAATCCCCAGTAGATTGCGTCCATCACAACAGCTATCAGGCTGGGTGACTTGCAGTCAAAAAAACACAACATACATGGCATTCAAGATGTGTGAAAAGCCCATCTGTGTCATAATATGCAATTTCTTTCACTGTATGTCCATGTTCTATATCAGTCCTGATCCACTGTCTAGCTTAAAAGAATCAATCAATCAATCAATCAATCAATCAATCAATCAATCAATCAGAATATTCTACAGCAGTGTGAGGAAGCACTTTTCACTGTGGTTGTGCTGGCTAAACTAATGCCATGCTGCTGCCTTCCAAGGACTGAACATCTTTGTTGACGAAATATGAACGTTGGCTGACCAACATTTTGGTTCCATCAAAGTCGTCAAAAATGAAAAGAAAAAATATATATCAGCTTAATGACAATAGTAGCCTGCAGTACCAGTGGATACAAAAGGTAACTTCACACATTTTTTGCTGTCTTATTACTTTAACATACAGCGATTTAAGTGCAATTTCACTAAACATACCAAACCAAATTAGCTTAGCAACTTAGCAAATTTCAAGTGTGTTTTTTAGAGATTGAGACTCGAGTTAACGACGCAAATTCAAATTATATATATATATATATATATATATATGTATATATATTTTAGAGATGAAACAGTTACCGGTTTCACGGTAAACCGCGGTAAAATTAATGACGGTTAGTAGTACCGTTTGAACTTTAAAGTATCGTTAAAACCGCGGTCGATTACCGCGGTGTGAAAAACTCGGAGATTCGGAGATATTTCAGCCTTCTAAGAAGACCAAGTCTGACGTTTGGTCATGTTTTGGGTTTTATAAGGATGCAGAAGGAAAGTTAATTGAAGATGACCACCCTGTCTGCAGAACAGGCCTAAAGAAAATAGCGGCGAAAGGGGGCAACACATCAAACCTTACGAGTCATCTTCGCGACCACCACCCGCTACCTGCAAGAATGCAAGGTTAACTTTAACGGAGAAGTCCGTGGACTTCGAAATAGGAGAAATGTCACGGTTTGTGTGGTTTAACTTTTGCTTATGGTTCGTTAATAATGTTAAATGAAGCTTTTAGCGTCAAAAAAAACCAAAAAAACAATCAGTGAATCAACTGTGAATCGAAACTAAAGCTTTTAACACACATTTCTGTGGAGCAGAGTCTCCAAAATGAGCTCTGAGTTAACAGTCACACGAGCTCTGGAACGAGACGCTACAAAAGTTCAATCTGCGCAGCTCCCCTTTCTTGTCCCGCTTGCAGTGTTTACTGTCTGAGAATAACACCGTCTCAAATCATTCAGTGTCCCCTACGTAGTGCGCTACTGTTCAAACATGATCATCATTAACAAGCAGCTGAGTTTTAAATAGGGGATTTGTAGCCTGTTGTTAATGTTGATTATAAATGACTTGGTCGAACGTTTCCTGCACTCTTTGGGTGAAGAATTTGCTATTTCATGATCCACGAAGTGCACTACATAGGGAAGATAGTGTGCTTTGAGACGGGACCTCGCGCGAGTAAACGCTGCGTGCCGCTTTTAGGAGAAGCAGAGTTTCAGAGATTAAACTTTAGGAGTGTTTCTGCTGCAGCTCAGATGCGCGTTAATTTTAAGTTATGTTTTATTTTAAAATGCTTTTAGAGAAGCAGCTCCACAGGTGAAGACACACTGTGAGTTCTACACTGTCTGCAGCTCACAGCGCGGTCACGCAGTTCCTCTGTGATTTTGGCTGTTTTTCCTGGTGCGCTGTATTGATTAGGGGTTCAGCGCCACAACGGCACAATAATGCTGCAGCTGCAGTTCGGACAGAAATCCCCCGAGTGCAGCACGTCTTAGAAGTAGTAATTTTCCATTAAGACCCACCTCAGAGTTGGTGGAGATTTAATTCTCTACGCAGGGAAATCCCTAGTTATTGTAATTATTATAATTATAATTATTATTATTATTATTATTAATAATAATAATAATAATAATAACAACAGTAATAATAATACATTTGCTATTCTTTTGTTTACAGAGTATTACAAGTATTGTAAGTAATACAAAAGTGATACTAAAAATGTACTGACCTTATAATTTTGTTTGCATAAACATTTTCAATGTTTATGCAAACAAAAAGTGCATATTGCTGCCAATTCTATTAGTGTTAATATAAAAGTTGGTGAAACGAGTTTCAGTGTGTGTATCAGTATTTATTTTTTTATTTATTTTACTTTTCAACACATTTGAACAATATAATACCGATAATCGTGATCATTTTGGTCATGATAATCGTGATATGAAATTTTAATATCGTTTCATCTCTAATATATATATATATTTAACACAATAACATTTCTCAGTTTCAACATTTGATTTGTTGTCTTTACTATTTTCAATTAAATATATGGTTTAAATGATTTGCACATCATTCCATTGTTTTTATTTACATTTCGCACAGCGTCCCAACTTCTTTACACACTGGGTTGTTGCTTATGTGCTATATAAACTACAATTTAACAACTAATTAATTATTAAATTAATAATTAACAATAAGTTTTGCCTTTGTCCTTTAAAACACCACATTTACTGCACGTAGCATTTCAGTTCTGTCAGATTTTTATAGAGGGTTTTTCAATAAAGAAAGTTTCATTATTTAAAAGCTGTTTTTTTGTCAAATTTACTTTTTTTTAAATGCAATGCCTACAACTAATAACAAGACTAAACTAAATTCTCTACTAAGGACTTGAAACTTGACTTGGATTCACATGGCAGAGACTCGAGACTGAACTTGCACGAATTGACTGAACATCTCTGGTGTTATTTCCCGGTTAAGCAGGCTTCTCTGTTGCATTACCGCATTATCTGCAATGAATCTCGACTGACAGGCTCTTTTGTTTGTAGGTCCAGGTGTAAACAGGATCCAGAAACGCTGCCGCCGTCTCTGGGCCTGATATTTCTAGTTGGCGTTCATAATTTCCCATTTCAACTCTAATAATAAACAGTTTACTGTACCTTTTGTCATTGATGACTTTTCTCAGGGCCACCAGCAGCTTCTCTGAAGTTATGTCATAGATGTTTAGGGTTTCTGCGACACCGCGAGCCACCATGCGCTGGACGTTATCTCCCTGATCTCCGAACAGTGGAATCATCACCATGGGCACTCCGTTACAGATCCCTTCATACAGCCCATGGGTTCCTCCGTGTGTGATGAAAGCCTTGGCCTTAGGGTGAGCTATTGTAAAAACATCAAATGAACAAGGTGACACAGTGTGACTGATGTGAAGCTAAAGTCTTCCAAAGCTTTAGTGCTGTTTTGTTTTGCCTGTGGTCATCTCCACAGCCCAACTGAGGTCTCATTACTCTGACAGAGTGAACATTTCATGTAGTTTCTGTCAGCAGCAGATGGTTGTGCATGCTTTACTTCATGAAAACACAAAACGTATGACTGTTTAAATATGTGAGATCCCGCTGGTGTGGGTTCATGCCAGTTTCCTCTCTTTCAATTGTGCTACAAAGTGGTAGATGGCTAATAGTGGCCCTTGTGGGGAATCTCAAGCCAGATAAGGCATGAGTGAGTTGGTCCCAAGCAAAATCCATGAAGTGCTTCACGTCTTAAAGCAGGGATGCCCAATCCTGGTCCTGTCCAGCTTAGTTCCACCTCTAATCAAACACACCTAATTCAGTTAATGAAGGCCTTCAGGAGTATCTGAATATCAGAGCCATGTGTTTTGGATCAGAACTCTCCAGGGTGGTAGATCTCCTGGAACAGGACTGAGCACCCATGTCTTAAAGTGACCATTATTAAAATGGCAATCAAAAGTGTTAAGTCCAATTAATTCTTTACAACCATGCAGCAAAAACTCCAGAATCCTAGAGTGCTGGCCTGCGAGGAACTGCCCTCTATCCATGCACACAGCCATTAGGATGGATCATGCAAAAAAGCAAGAACTCCTCCAACATCGCATCTTATTTTGACAAGTATACTATCATCTCAGATCTTTTCCAAGGAGCCTCTTTTGATTATGCTCTTCATGGAGCATTTTGGTAACAGATCTTTCCTAAGGAGCCTCTTTGATGAATCTTCAAGATGAACTTCCACTAGAACTGATTCGAGACATTTGGGTTTAATGAGATACGTGATATGAGGATTAAAACAAACCTAAGAGATCGTTCTGAGGAAGCCACTTCATCAGTCTGACGTTCTTTGGTGCATCTTTGGGAACCACTCCAGTGTATCGCCACAGGACCTGGACATCAGAGTGGAACCTCTACGTTAGTGAAGTGTCATCTAGTGTTTTTCATTGGCTTCTTTGGGTTTATTAGTAATCAGTTTCTCACTAGATTTGTCACAATTTAGAAATGTTAGCCAAATTAACACATAAATAATTGCAATAAATAATTTGTCTTTTCTCATTAATTGTGTGCAAAACTTAAAGTACAAGCTTAAAGTGTCCAAATTGGCTGATTCCAACATCTAGTAAAGTCCTCCCAGAAGAGTAGAGGCTGTTATGAAGCAAAAGGGGACAATCTAGTTAATACCCTTCATTTCAGAAGAAACGCTGGAGACAACTTCTGGACATACAGTGCAATAACTGATCTGTTTATTAGTGATGCATGGTTGTGTATAAAATGTTTCTCCTCACCCTCTGAGGAATCTGTCTGAAGGCATCAAAGAATTCCTTGGCTTTGACCTCCGGCAGTTCAGACACCATGGAGCCCAAAGTGAACACGACGAAGCCATGCTCTCCAGAGCCGTTCACAAACTCCTCCAGATCCTGCAATAAGGACGGCAGACAGTGTTCGATTCATGAGGATGTGCAAGTTCTTCCAAAGGTGACATTGTAGACTAAAGATTCCACCTTAAATGGAATACAGGTGCCAGGATGTGAATGCTGCTCTATATAAGGTGGAACAGGAAATGTGAACAGGAAGCTGGTGAATGAGAAGCCAACTTCAGCCTTGTAGAAGTTTAGACATGAAACATTTAGCACTGTTTTGTCAGGCCCAGTAAAGCCTTTGCATGGTTAGTATTAGAGAGCATCATCATCATATTATATACATTTTTTTCACTTTTGTTTTTATTACTTGCACAATAAAAATATTTCACAATTTCTTCGGTTGTTAAAAAATGAATCAAGGACATCCCAGACAAATAAGCCACTGTTAGCTGTATCATTAGCACAACGCTTTTTGGTACAACACAAAACCTTTTTTCGATTAATTCTATATTGAATCATCTACAGTACATTCTCTATCAATCTGAAGAACCATTTCATGGTGTAAAGAAGCCTTCAATTATGCAAAGGGTTCTTAGAGTGTTCATGGTTCTATAAAGAGCCATTTTCTTTACTAATAGGCCCTTGAAGAACCATATTTTTTAAGAGTGTAGTTAAATGAAGTCAAAGTCAGTTCCACAGCCGTGTTTTAGAGCGCATAAAGTAAAGCTTTCTTGCTTACTTTGAAATTCAACAAATTCAAACTCCATTCATCTTTTGGGCCATGCTGGGTGTTTGAAGGTGGGGACACAGAAAGGCGAAGTTACAGCTCAGAAGCCATTGTTCATGTAATGCTTTCCTCTGATCAAAATGAAAAATATAACAATGATTACATCTGTGCTTAAACATGACTATTCTCATCCAACAGTGGTGTCACAGGGGGTTCCAGAGTGAGATTTTCCACAAATTGCAAACTGTTCTGTGCTTGCCAAGATTTAAATCTTAGATCTGGAAATGTTTTTGACAAAAAAAATAAGACTCAAACCCCACCACATGAAGAAAATTCATATTATTTCTGACCTTTCAGACTTTGCCAGATTTTATAAAACTAAGCACTTGTGCTCATGGGTATATTTTGTTTTTTCTATCTGAATTTACATGCCCAAATCATAAGGCAAATTATTCAGTAACTGCATGAAATAACTAATTTTTTTTTGTAAAAGCTCCCCTCAAATTAACAGAATATAGTGTTTTATGATCATACACATATTGCTATATGCTTACAATTTAATGCTGAAAGCCAAAAATCTTCGACGCTCTTTGTATTATTTTATAAAAATAATTTTTACAGAGCAGATCACTGAAGAGACGCCATCTGTTTATAGTTTATAGCCTAGATTTGTGGAAAAATGGGTCGACTTTCAGTAGAAAAAAAAATTGTGAGTTCAGCTTCTTTTATTATAAAGTTTTAAAATTACATCACCCATCTATCTGACTGGAAAGAAGACAGTTACAGCTCTCATATGACCCCCACCTTTAGAATGTAGCTTATAAAATATGAAAGTTATGAAGTAAAGAATATGACAATGCGTTTTGGATCCACCGGTGGTCTCAAGGAGTTAAAAAGGTTAAAAAAAGTGTCACAAAACATGTGGCACTATTTACACTTAGTTTCTAGGTTTACAACAGTGCAGCTGGTCAGATCTGGACTATGGTCCTTCATCCTTTACCCAGGTTTCACTAAAGATAAACATCTTTCAGCAGAGTTGCAAGTCATGATGAAGGAGCAGGATTATTGCAGTTTTCACTGAGACTCTTAATAGTGAACAACAAAAATTAAAAGCTATAATTTAAGGTGAGAGTGGATAACACACAGCAGCAGATACATAAAGCTCATCTTCACATTCCAGTAAAACTGGCCAATGCAGCTGCATCAACTTCATGCCAAATTACTACGGACATTAAGGAATACCAGCTTCAGCTGTGATGAGGCAGTTGACTAAGGTTGTCCGTCCTTGCTGTCGCACTGACTGTACAGATGTTGTGTCACTGAGGTCCTACAATTTTCTAAACAATTCCATTGGAATCTACCACTGTGGTGATGTTTTTACCTGAATTGTGAACAAATCAAACGAAGAAACGCATATTGTTCAGCAAAACTCACCGCTGGCAGGGGCTTCTTCTTGGCACAATTGATGCCCCCAACAGTCACCATGTTGGGCATTAGGGGTCTAGGGTATTCAAAGGTGAAGTCGTACCTCATAAGCCAAATTGCACCATGGCTTAAAAGCTGTTTATAGGTAGTGTCCTTCTTAAGGTATCTGCTGACCAGTTCATCAAAGCTGGCATAAACAAATCGGCAGAGGACCGACTCAAACCCAGTCATGAACATGTTCTTGACCCTCTGAGGAAAATTCATGATGTCTGTGTTGCCTGTGAACAAGCGTGGGATATAAGAAGGGGGTGAGGGGCACTGAGCTGCTGCCAGGTCCAGTCCGCAGGGGATCCCACGCAAGAAATAAACAACAGGAATGGAAAAGGCATCACCAATGATCGCACCACAAGGTAGGAAAGGGTCAGTCAGCATGAGATCAAAGCCTTGCTCCCGCAGGCTCCTCATCAGAGGCTCGTCGTACAGCAGGCCTTCACAGCCTTTCATTTGCATGTTGTGAAAGTTTGTAAGCGCCTTCATGTTCAGTAAAATATCAGAACGCTCTGGACCTTTCATTGACACCTCCTTAAATTCATCAATAATGGCATCCAGATCAGCCTCTGTGTAGGGTACCTTGAAGGTCCTAGTGGTGTAGCTGCCATTGCGGATATGCTGGCTAGCCTCAGGAACCAAAACCACCATCTCGTGGCCTTTCTGAGACAACTCCTCCACCAGAATCTTCATACTGAGCCAGTGGCTGCCGTCCACAGGCATGACCACTATCTTTCCCCCTTGTACTGTCCCTATAGAGGAGCAGCAGAGCAAAGCCAGCAGCCCCAGAACCGTAACACACTGCATTCCTACACAAGCCTCTCAGAACCCCTGTTGAAAGCACTACAGTGCGACAGTGAAGGGCCCTCTCAGCAACACTGAAGCAGACTGAGCTCAACTCGGTCTGACTGTGAGCTCTTATATAATTGTGTCTGTGCAGCAGCGTGATCTCACAATGTAGTCCAAAGTCCACAAAGTAGGTGAGAGATTTTAACACATTATTCTAGTGGCCTGTATGTGTGGAAGTACTTTGTTTTTTGGCATTTGAATTTTGGAATTGTCTTGATGTAAAACTTCTTTTATGTGTAACCAACTGATATAACTGATGTCATGTACAAGCAAAGCACAGTTCAGTGCAGCTACTGCAAAGTATGGGAGTCCCCTGTACTCATTTACTCATATACTAATGAAGTCAAGTCGTTCATTAGTTCAATAGCTCTTTTTTTACTACACAGAGATGAATCTCTGAATGAAAGTGAGCCAATATTTAAACCAGCAATCAAATCTGAGAGTGGAAAATCAACTGAAGTGGTCTATTTGGGAGCTCTCTGTTACCTATCAGCAAGAGACAGTCACACTCAACTCCAGTGAGGCTGGACATTGAAGTCTATGTCAGCATGACATTGCGTTTTCAGAGCAGAAACGTTTACCAAAGACGAGGCTACTCCTCACTATACAGTGTTACTTAAACAGCCCTGATTTATACTAACACAACTTGACAGGTTTCTTTGGCGAGTTTAGCTCCTGCTCGTCCTTAAACTTGACTTTTGTCATTTTTGGTCACCAAAGTGGTGCAATGAACTTCTCTTAGTCCCTTGCTGTCTAAATACTCTTAGAGTGCGTTGCAGTCTACAGACTGAAGACCAGTTTCTTTAGAAAAACATTTAATGAACAATAATCCTGCACATAAGCTCTGTAAACTCTGTGTATTGTATATGTAGGTAGCAGCACTAGCTGCTGTTTCTGGCAGTGCCTTAACTCTTATCTTTGGACAACCTACAGTTCAATAAAGCACTTTTGTAATCCATCTTTTGCTAAATTATTAATAAAGATTGCATAAGGGGGAGGTTTTCAGAGAACGTCATGGATATGCTGATTGCTTCTACAACACTAAACAATCAGTAAACTTTTGATTGTTGGTACCAAGTTACCCACTGCCTATTCAGATTGCATTCATGCTATTAATGATACTCTAGTCAGCCCATCCTCTACTGCATGAAACCTTGATGTCCTACTTGACTCATGTCACACCTTTGTTCCACATACTGAATTCCTGATGCAATATTGCTAGACTTTGCCCTATGCTTACCTTTAAAGATGCCAAAATTCTGGTGCATGCTTACACTACATCTGGGTTAAACCACCACAATTCTGTTTTATGGTTTACCAACTATTGGCTCCCAGATACAGAACACATTCAAATCTTTGTGTTAACCTTTAAAGCATCGTATAGCCTTGCACCTTCTCATCTCTCAGCTTTGTTATATCCTCATACCCCATTGTACAATCTAAGGTCCTCCTACTCTGGTCTTCTAGTTGTTCCTAGATTCATGCTTTCCACTATAGGGGTCAGGTCTTTTAGTGTTGCTGCCTCCACCGTCTGGAACTCCTTACCATCATCTATTTGCTCTTCTATCTCTTTCCATCTTCAATGCTCAGCTAAACACCTACCTTTTTTCTGAATGCTTTCACGCTCTTTAATACCCTCCCTGCCCCGACACTGTAAAGTGACCTTGTGTTTGTGAAAGGCGCCATATAACATTTTTCTTCTTCTTCTTCTTCTTATTATTATTATTATATAGACATAATTTTAGAGAATCTGCAAATAACAACATACAGGATATAGCAATTGTATAGTAAGCATAGTAACTAAACACTAATAATAAAACTATGTATTAATAGTATTTTTCATTTTAGTTACAAAATCTCTGCTTTACACAGAAATGTAAGTAAAACTGGAGAGATAAAATACAATGGTCTACATTACATATCAGCACAATCTGGATTTAAAGCACGATCATATTTACCTGAGAGGCTTTTATGCCTTTAGCACAGTCATCCATGATGTGTAACTGTGTCACTAATCTGGCTGTGTCACTTCACATAAATGATTATCATCAGTTTAAACGTTAAAGCCAACACTGTGCCTTCACAATTTATGTGTCCAAGGGACTGTAATAAAGGGAAACATTAAGGGCCCTAAAACAGAGCTTTGAGGGACACTATATTGCACTTTATGTTCAGAAAACCAACATTTAAACTGACAATTTCATGTCTGCATGCATCCTGTAAGGATACATGACTGACCACATACACACACATAATCTTGTAGAAAGCTTCCCAGAAGAGTGAAGGCTACATATTAATGGCCATGGTTTTTCATACGAGTGTCATAATCACTCCTCAGAACAATTCACAATTACAGAATATTTTTCATAGCATGTACTGAGTAAAGTAATTATAGTAGTTACTGAATGTTTAATCTTAAAATTAAAAACTGAGTATTTAAGCCTAGGATTTATGGGTTAAAAGCTGGTCTGATGGCATTTTATTCAATGGGAGACCAATTACAAAGACAATGGTAGACAAGAAATGGTGTATAGTAACTGAACAAAGTGCATAGTAACAAGAAGGAGCCATTGAGCTGCATTTTTAATGAATGAAAGGTGACATTATTATTATTATTATTATTATTATCATTATTATTATTAATAATATTATTGTGAAATCATCTTATATAATTCACTTTATCAATTGTAAAGTGTGAACTTAAAAATGCCACTGACCACTAGAATGAAATGAGAAAGAGTGTTCAGTTTATGTTCTTATGATAATGAGTCCAGCACAAAGACAGTAGGTGGTGCTATAAGACTAGAAATTCTATACTGTCCATACTTTCTTGTTATGGGGAAATGGGGTTATTTTTACAGGTGAGTTTTCACAAAAACTGATTTAAGCTGTTTACTTACTTCAGCCTGAATACCACATTTACCCCTTTTTTACTAGATAATTTGAAAAAATATACATAAGACTGCATTCATACAGAACCTAAAAGCTTTTAAAAAATGATCGAGGTTTAGGCTTATTTACATTGTGGTCCTCATAACAGCGGCACTTATACATGCCAAAAGGTCATCTGTAAAAAACAAGATGAGTTCATTTGCACAAACAGATATCTTTAATGGATTTTCATAAATCATGTTTTTGTTATTGTGCATTCTGGTTATTATTAATCAAACTGCAGTTAGGTTGTGTTAAGTAAAAATAACAAAATACAGGTAACTTACAAAATTAAACTATTGAATTTTTATTTCATTTCAATTTAATTTTTTGGCAAAAGCAGGTAACTCCGATAGTCATTTCCATGTTAACCACACCGTTTATTGGGTACAAGTTCCTTTTAAAGTCAGTATTTAACAATCTTTACCATAAAACAAGCAGGTAAAGATGTGAAAATTGCAACACAAACAGCCATTAATGTTCAATGTTAAGCATCTATAAGATCAGAACTCTGAAAGTCCTGAAGTCCTAAATCCTAATCTCAAACGGCTCACTGCTCCCTATATAGTCACTATGTGAGTTAGGAAATTTTGGCTTTTACACCCAAATATCGATCTTTATGTCAGGTATGAACTGTGTACACAGGGCTGAATCCAAATACTGTGCGCTGATTGGCTGAACTGGATTTATCGTGTTCTGCTGGAGAACAATGCTGGTGTTTGACCGTTTCTGCTGTAAAATGTGAACCTGTGATGCCTGGACAATGAACAATTAAGGCTTTTGTGCCTAAACATGTTTAGGTTTCAAAATGTGTTGTGTGTTAGAATAACTCACCACAGTCAGCTCGTTTTTTTTTGAAGGATGGACTTCATCTGTTTTTTTCAAATGAACTTTTCATATTCAGTCGTTTAGCCTTTAGAGATTTGGAGATTCCTCAAAGAAGCTTCAACACTCAAACTACAAAAAAGAGACTAAATCTACTTTATTTGATATCCTGATACAAAATAAATGCAGACAGAAAATGCGATAGGCAGCTAGATAGAGAGATATTTGAAACTCATTTGAAATAAAAATTGATCACATAATCTAATAGTAAACTGAAAAAGAAATGGAGCGTAGAATTTCCGTGATTCAAATGTGTCAGTTGGCTGACCATAACATTAACAATAGCCAAATGCTCTTCACCACTGTTGACAAACTAACACCGCCACCTACATATATGGTCCATGAATTAGTATCAACTGAGAGATGTAATATATATATATATATATATATATATATATATATATATCCACCAGAGAGCCTGTGTTTCGGATGTTAAAAGAGTAGACTAGAGGAATATGGAAGTGGATTTTAAATGGGTTGTATACTTGTTTGCAGAGGATTTCACCACAGTTCAGTACAAAGGTTCAATGAGTTCGCGTTGCATTGCAAAATCACATCTAGCACTGCAGCCTGAATTTAGTCCATAATTTTGTCCTCTAGATAACGAGTCACAGCGTCAGAAACCACATGATCAAGTCTACTAGAAAAACTGAACAACTCCACACACGTTAAGGCACGTTTGTGAAGATTTAGCATACAGGTAGCACCATGGTAATTTGTGACGTATAAGCTGGTTAGCTGCATTAGCCTTGTAGCTTCAGTGCTTAAACTGAAGACGAACTCAGACTCCACTCTTCATTTTCATCCTGTCTTAATTCTTAATTTCTCGTTTTTCTCCTCTTTTCTAGATTTCCATGCTATCATTTGCTATCAAAGCTTCTCTCAAAAATCTTTGAATGTGCCGTCTACAATCAGATGTCTCTTTATCTCAACCAGATCCAGCTCCAGGATGCAAGTTGGCCAAAACTGGCACACACTGCAGTAACTCTGGCATTGTCTTACAGCTGTTTGAGTCCAACCTGGAGTGGTTCTCTTATCAGGTGACATGGAGAAGATCCACACTGGCTCAGTGCAGTTTCTCCACCAGTGTTCCACAAGGCTCAGTGCTAGGTCCTCTTCTCTTTTCCTGCTTTACTCTCTTCCTTCTCAACTTTCTACTCTCATCTTGGCTGAAGCATAATCAAGAAATGCCGAACTGCTTGAAATCTATGTTCTCTCTGGGATCTTATAGTCTCCTTTGAGGATTCCCTGGTCTTTCCATCTGACATGCATAAAGTCAGTATCTGCGTGATTTTGAATGATCAGCAATTG